AGAGGAAGATTCTGGTTTGGATTCTTTCTGGGAATTTTGGGTTTTCTGGGAATTAAGGAAGTTAAGAAGTTGCCCTATCTGCTCCTGAGTGAATGAAAGTTGATTGAACTTGACTTGTGGTTCTTGTTGAGTCTCAGTCACAGTTGTTTGTAGGGCTTTCTCAGTTTTTTTCTTTCCTGCCCCTGGTGGTTTGCCATGAATTTTCCAACAAGTCTCCCTAGTGTACCATAATTTCTTGCAATGATCACACCAGGGTTTTTTCTTGTCATCACTCCTAGCCACCATTGCTGAAGAGTCCCCAGATTCCTCATTATGTACTGGAGTGCTGTACATAACCTTCTTCCTGCTTTTCTCCATCCTGATTTCAGAAAATACCTCCCTGATAGAGGGTAGAGGTTTTTTTCCAAGTATCCTCCCCTTAATTTCATCTAGGTCCCTATTGATCCCTGCTAGAAACATATAGACCCTATCATTCTCTTCTCTTTTCTTATGTCTGGCCAGATCCTTAGCACTCTCCCACTCTTCATCACCATAGCATTGATCTAATTCTTGCCACAGAGATACCATTTCATTGTAGTATGAAATAATATCCCTATTTCCTTGTTTAGATTGCCACAGTTTGGTTTTGAGTTCAAAAATTTGAGAAGAGTTCTCAAGATCTGAATAAGTTTCCTTAATAGAATCCCATACCTCCTTTGCAGTTTTCATAAACATATGAGGTTTGGCAATTAAGGGCTCCATGGAGTTGAGAAGCCAAGCTGTTATGAGTGAATTCTCTGACCTCCATGTACTGTACCCTTCTTCTGCAGGTAGTTTTGGTTGGATTTCTCCTGTGATGTAACCCAGCTTTCCCCTCCCATCAATTGCAAGTCTGACAGATTGAGACCACTCCAGATAGTTTGTTCCATTCAATCTATGACTAGTGATTATCATAGATGAATGAATAGGAGACTGGTAATTTGTCATAGAGCTAATTTGGGAGTTAGGGTTGATAGTGTGTGAGGAATCAGCCTCACTGGTTTCTACCATTGTTTAAACCGAAGCTCTGATACCATGTAAGTTTTAGGAATAAAACTTCCTTGATATTATTGAGCCATCCGGCCATGGTATATATACATGTTTACAGATAAAATCAAGTTGTTACAGATCCTAAAAAATAGGATCTATCTATTCTATCTATTCTGTGAGCTTATCTACTAATTAGAGAGTCCTATCTACTCTAATTCTTATCTACACAGTTCCGGATGTACAAGTAATTAAAATAACAAGAATATGTTACATTTTTCTACATCTTCTTATCGAAGAGCCAATATCTCGTGCAAGATCTGATGGTGCAACTGGCATCAACTCCAGGATCAGTGTAGGCAGCTGAATTTCCGGTGATCCATTTTCTGATTCATAGTGGTCCCAATAGTTGTGAACTGTTGAACATGAGGATGCGTTGGCACGAACAAACCTCAGTTTTTGAACCCGTATACAAACTACTGGCAATCTCCTTACATAATCAGCGCTAATTAAGGCATCTCGGACGATAGCAGGATTGAGTTTATTTTCAAGCATCATAAACCTCCAAACATCATAGGTACGCATTCGTGTTTGAGACAGGCCCTCCTCATCAGCCCCTGTGATTTTGTTGATCAGTTCCAAGGCCGCCTCAGTGTGGTCTGTACGATTTCCTTCCTGACTGTAAGGAATATCAAGTTTGAGCGGTGTTGAATCTTCAGAGGGAGGTTGCCGTTGATTAACAGACTTATGCTGCGAACCAAGAGAATCTGATGGCCACGAAACCTGCGAACTCTGAAAAACAGCGTGAGTCAGTGTCTGCGATGATGAAGAAGGCGAAAGCTGAGAATCGACTGGTGAAGACGATAGGGATTCTCCTCTCGATTGTGTCTTACTTGGACGTGAACTGATAGCTGATGAAGATGTCTGTGGACTGAGAAACGTCATGCATTGAGCCCTGCCAACTGAGTCATGCGAACTGGTAAACACTGTACGCGATTGCAAATTGTGAGATGATGTTCTTGAAGAAGCCAGATAACTGGACGGAGGTGCTCGCGACTGAAAAGAAACCTGCGCACGCGACGCGGTCTGTGAACTAGGTAAAACCGTTCGCGATTGCGAACTAGGAAGAGCTACGGTCGAAGAAACCTGATTTTCAGTTGGCTAACGGCGTCTAGGACTCCTCGCTCGGCCTCTAATTCTCCTGCGACGCTGTTTACGCAAATGATGTATCATCTCGTCCAGCATCGTTTCCATCTTTGTCCAGGTGCTATTCTCCAAATTTGCGCGCAAACCAGAAGTGCGATTCTCCATTTTTTTTGTTGCGTGAATGTCAATCGAAGCTTCCCAGGGCCTACTGCTTTGATACCAATGATACGTACCCAGAAATTTGACGATAAACGGAAGTATATTAGATGAAATTGATAGACTGAAAAAGAAAGATACAGTGAGACACTTCGAGCGGTCCCCTCTCCCAAGCCAAAGCCTATCCCAATTTCTGCTTGCCAATTCTACTCCCATCATTCCTATTTATTCTTTTCCATATGGGTCCGCCCAGTTCTATTAAATTCAGGACCTAAAACCCTTTTATTCTACAATATTAAAAGACCACCATTATTCTTATTTTTAGTACTATCTAGGTCTCTATCACACTACATGGTTCTGTGTTGATTACTGAAAATTGAACCAACAAACTGTCCCAACTAAGTATCCCATTCCCAATATTGATGACCTTTTGGATGAACTTCACGGGGCCACCGTATTCTCGAAAATTGACTTGAAGTCTGGTTATTTCCAAATCAGAATGAACCCAGTTGACATTCCCAAAACCGCTTTTAGAACCCACTCTGGGCACTATGAATTCCTTGTCATGCCCTTTTGTCTGATGAATGCCCCTTCAACTTTTCAGTCCACTATGAACAACCTTTTTCGTCCTTATCTTCGAAAATTTGTCCTGGTGTTCTTTGAAGATATCTTGGTATATAGCAAAAACCTTGCGGACCACTTATGTCATTTACGGATTGTTTTTTCTCTTACGAGTTCATCAATTTTATGCCAATGCCAAGAAGTGTTCCTTCGGCCAGCAGCGTATTCTGTACTTGGGGCATATAGTGTCCAGTGATGGAGTCGATATGGAGACGGAGAAAGTCCAAGATGTTCTACTTGAATTTACTGATTTGAATGAAATTGCTTAAGAGAAACTACTCTCAGCAAGTCTTTATTTATAAGGCAAATAATTACAAGGAAAGAATCATATGCACATCAATCAGTAATTAATTCCTGATTTGATACAATCTGTACAATAAATACTAAAATCATGAAGGAAATCATATCAAATCTCAACACTCCCCCTCAAGCTGGTGCGTAGACATCATATGCATCAAGCTTGTCACAAATATATCTTATCCTCGGACCTCGAAGTGACTTAGCGAGAAAATCAGCTAACTGATCATTTGATTTGACAAAGGATGTGAAGATTTCTCCGGAAATGACTTTTTCACGAATAAAATGGCAATCGATTTCTATATGTTTTGTTCGTTCATGAAAAACAGGGTTAGAAGCGATGTATAAAGCTGCCTGATTATCACAGATCAGTTTCATAGGCTTCAGTTTGCAAAACTTTAACTCGGACAATAACTGTTTCAGCCATGTAAGTTCGCAAGTAGTGAGAGCCATGGCTCGATACTCTGCTTCGGCACTTGATCTAGCGACAACACTCTGTTTCTTGCTCTTCCACGAGATTAGGTTTCCACCAATGAGAACACAGTACCCTGAAGTTGATCTCCTGTCATTTGGACAGCCGGCCCAATCCGCATCTGAATATGCAGTAATATTGTCACAACCCCGGTTCGCATAAACCAGTCCTCTTCCAGGTGAACCTTTGATGTATCTTAGGATTCAAACAACTGCATCCCAATGACTATCACATGGCGTATTGAGGAACTGACTAACCACGCTCACGGCAAAGGAGATGTCTGGTCTGGTCATAGTGAGATAATTTAACTTCCCCACAAGTCGTCGATATCATTCAGGATTAGAGATAGGCTCTCCCTGATCTGGCAAAAGTCGAACATTTGGATCAATTGGAGTATCGATCGGCTTACAATCTGTCATCCCGGTTTCCTTCAAAATATCAAGAGCATATTTTCTTTGAGATATGGCAATGCCAGTTTTGGATTGAGCTACCTCAATTCCAAGAAAGTAACGAAGTCGTCCCAAATCTTTTGTTTGAAATTGTTGGGACAAGTATAGTTTAAGATTCTGTATGCCATCATGATCATCCCCTGTTATTACAATATCATCAACATAAACAACAAGGTAAGTAGATTGATTAGATAAAGATCTTTTATAAAACACGGTGTGGTCTGCTTTGCATTGAATCATCCCAAACTGTTTGAGAGCCGTACTGAATCTGCCAAACCACGCTCGTGGGGACTGTTTAAGACCATACAAGGCCTTATGCAACCGACACACATATCTACACTCCCCCTGAGCAACAAACCCAGGTGGTTGCTCCATGTAAACTTCTTCTTTTAAATTACCGTGAAGAAATGCATTTTTTATGTCCAACTGGTGTAAGGGCCAGCTGCGCATAGCTGCCATAGATAAGAACAAACGTACAGAAGCCATCTTTGCAACCGGAGAAAAAGTGTCACCATAATCCAAGCCAAACACTTGAGTAAACCCTTTAGCAACCAAACGTGCTTTCAGTCGGTCAACTTGTCCATCAGGACCAACTTTGATTGTAAACACCCATCGGCAACCAACAATAGATTTACCATGGCGCAGGGGAACAAGAGACCAAGTACGATTGATTTCAAGCGCAACCATCTCATCAAGCATAGTTCGGCGCCATCCTGGGTGGGCAAGAGCTTCCTGGACAGTTTTAGGAATGGAAACAGAAGAGATGGAAGACACAAAAGCATAATGGGAAGGAGATAGATGATGATAACTTAGACAATTATAAATAGGATGCGGGTTCCGAGTGGAACGTATACCTTTTCCGGTTGCAATTGGAAGATCAGGTTGAGCAAGTGCCTCATGTTGGTCCGGAGTAGGTAAAGGAGCTGGAGCTGGAGGTGAATCAGCAGGGTCACTATTAGGGACATCCTCATTAGGTGCAGACCGCGGTCGACGCTGATAAGTAATGAGTGGTTTGGCAGAGGACAATGGAGGACTGAGAGGTGACAATGGAGTAAGATGAGGAATGGGTAAGACCTGAGAGACAGATTCAACTTCCACTTGTGAAGTGAAATACGGTTGATCCTCAAAGAAACTGACATCTACAGAAGTATAGAAACGATGAGTAGAAGGTGAATAACAACGGTACCCTTTTTGGACTCTAGAGTAGCCAAGGAATATGCACTCGATTGCTCGTGGAGATAATTTGTCAAGACCATGGGAAAGATCCTGTACGAAACAAGTACAACCAAAGACTTTGGGAGGAACAAGGAAAATGGGGTCCTTTGGGAACAAGATAGAGTGTGGTACTTTGTTATCCAATGTAGAAGATGGCATTCGATTGATTAAATGAATAGCTGGTGAGAACAGCATCTCCCCAGAATTTTAGTGGGGCATTGGCATGAACCAGTAGTGTGCGTGCTGTTTCAATGATATGACGATGTTTTCTTTCGGCAATCCCATTTTGTTGAGGCGTGTGGGGACATGTGGATTGATGAATTATCCCTTGAGTAGCCATATATTCATTGAAATTTGTTGAGAAATATTCCTTGGCATTATCACTACGTAGAACACGAATGGTATGATCAAACTGATTTTTTATTTCATTGCAGAAACTTTTGAAAATGCCAAATAACTCTGAACGTTCTTTCATTAAATAAAGCCACGTACATCTTGAAAAATCATCAACAAAGATAACAAAGTACCGAAATCCTAAAACAGAACTGACACGACTTGGACCCCAAACATCTGAGTGAACAAGATAGAAGGGAGATTCTGCATGACTATGACTTTTTGGGAAAGTGGTTCTAACATGTTTACCAATTTGACATGACTCATAGGCTAAGGACTGTAAATTGGAAACTTGAGGTACCATTCTCCTCAGTTTATTGAGACTAGGATGACCTAAACGTTGGTGAAGCAAAGAAGGAGACTCCATAGCAGTGCAAGCAACTGAAGAGGAAGTCTGAAAGTAGTATAGACCCTGAGATTCAAATCCTGCTCCAATCATCTGTCCCGTACTCCGGTCCTGTATAGAAAAAGAGTCATCAATAAAGGTGACAACACAATTATGACGACGTGTAAGTTGACTGACAGAAACCAAGTTGAAAGGACAACCAGGGATAAGAAGAACAGAATTAAGAGACAAAGAAGGATGAAGTGTGGCCTGTCCAACGCCAATGGCTTTAACTTTTGAACCATCAGCAAGGGTGACATGGTGCGCTGATTTAGGTTGAGATAACTTTGAGAAAAGAGAAGGATTACCGGCAATGTGATCAGAGGCACCAGAATCTATGATCCAAGATTTGGCGGGTCCTGATTGAGAAAGACAAGCTGTAGAATTACCGGTAAAGTTGACTGTTGCTGAGGAATGCTGAGCTGCCTTAAGTTGTAGATACTCTTTATATTCATCATCTGATAGAACATTCTGGGCACTTTTAGTTGTTGCCCCAGGTTTCACCGGTTCGGAGTGCATTACATTAACAGACTTGTCAGGCCAACCAATAATTTCATAACATTTATCTTTGGTATGACCCATGCGCTGACAATGACTACACTTAGGTCGACCACCAGTGCCACGTCCTCCTCTATCACGACCACGACCGCCATAGCTAGAACGAGAGACAAGAGCAGAGAACTCTGAATCAACGTGAGGACCAACACTTTCAATTCCACTTGGTGCAGGAACTCTCAACAGTCGACCGATAAGGTCTTCAGCAGTGGGAATGTTTGGATTCGTTAGGATCTAGTTCCGCACGGAATCAAAATCCCTATGAAGTCCATGGAGAACAAACACCATACACATTTTATCAATTTTATCAAACACTTTAGGGAGATCAGTTTCGCTCAACATCACCTTAACCTCTTCAACGATGGATTGTGCCTTATTCACATATGATGGAAGGTCATGGTCGGACATTTGGAGTGTTGCAAGGCTATGAACAACGTCATAAATCCGTTGGACATCATTCGCAAACACACTTCGAGCTTTCTTCCATATGTCATAACACGTCTTGTATGTGCGGAAGTGGATCAACAGTTTGGGATCAATGAACTGCCACAAAATAGCAACCAATTGATGGTCGGCTTGAGTCCATTTTTCCCTTTCAGATGCAGTTATCTCATCGGCTCTTTTGGTCAAATGTTCAGACAAACCTTGGCCTAAGAACCACATTTCAACAGAAACTTGCCAATCCATGTAGTTTCTGCCGTTAAGTTTTTCAGAAGTTATTTGGGAATTCCCAGAAAAGACAAAGGACACAAGACTCCTGGAAGAGTCAGGAGTCGTGCTGCTTGCAGGAGACATGACGTATACTGACTTGGGAACAATCTGGAATGACTAGGACTTCTATTCCTAGTGCCGGCAGACCAGTCTCGATGAAGGTTGGCTGCAGGGACGACTAGGGAAAGTGAGGATAAGGCTCTGATACCAACTTGAATTTATTGATTTGAATGAAATTGCTTAAGAGAAACTACTCTCAACAAGTCTTTATTTATAAGGCAAATAATTACAAGGAAAGAATCATATGCACATCAATCAGTAATTAATTCCTGATTTGATACAATCTGTACAATAAATACTAAAATCAGGAAGGAAATCATATCAAATCTCAACAGTTCTGAATTGACAGGTTCCTCGGAATGTCAAAGAGTTGAGAGGCTTTCTGGGGCTGACAAGGTACTACTGCCGCTTTATCAAAGATTATGGCATACGTGCCAGGCCACTCACTTAACTTAGGAAGAAAAATGCTTTCCTTTGGAGTCTAATGGCAGAGAGAGCATTTTAGAGCTTAAAAATGGCATTAACTTCTGCTCCTTTTTGAAGTTACCCGACTTCACCTTGCCCTTTACAGTGGAATGTGATGCGTCAACTGCAGGGGTTGGAGCTATTCTGCTCCAGTCAGATCACCCGGTCTCTTATTTTAGTAAGGGGTTTTCTTCTTCTAATCGTTTGAAGTCCACCTATGACCGGGAATTACTTGCTGTTGTTTTAGCCTTACAAAAATGGAAGCATTATTTGCTTGGTCGACATTTCTTTGTCAAAACTGATCACTGCAGTCTTAAGTTTTTGTTGGATCAACGTCTGACATCGGATTCCCAACAGCGCTCATAAAGCTACTTCCCTTCAATTTCACTATCATCTATAAGAAGGGGAAACACAACCAGGGAGCGGATGCCTTGTCACGGAAAGCACACCATGCTGAATTGCTTACTCTGGCATTACCCGTGAACATGGACTTAATGACTCTACAAGATGAACTGTTGCAAGATCCGGCTACTAAAGATATTATCTCATCAACTACTAGCCCTGATTATTCCTTGGTGGAAGGGAGACTATTCTACAAGGGGCGGTTGGTAATCCCGGGAACGTCATCACTTCGCCAGAAAATTCTATCCGAGTGCCAGATACCCTCACTGGTGGACATGGTGGTTTCCTGAAAACATTGAAGCGTGCATCTGTTTGGTATGTCAACGAAATAAATATGAGACGTCGGCACCAGCAAGTCTACTCCAGCCGATCCCACTTTCAGATCGTGTTTGGGAGCACATATCACTTGATTTTATCACTGGGATACCAAAATCAGGGGGTTTTGACACAGTTCTAGTAGTGGTGGACAGATTCAGCAAATATTGTCACTTTGTGCCATTGTCTCATCCATTTACAGCTAAATCTGAGGCACCTCTTTTTGTAGGGTAATTGTACGTCTACATGGGCTTCCACACTCTATTATCTCAAAAAGAGATCCTATTTTTCCGAGTCATTTTTGGCAGGAATTGTTTCGCCTTAGTTGGACCCGGTTACACATGGGTACAGCTTACCACCCCCAATCTGACGGGCAAACGGAGGTGGTGAATTGCACTCTCGAGTCCTACCTGCGTTGCTTTGCTCACGAGCGTCCTTCCTCCTGGTGGAGCAAGTATCTGGCATGGGAACCACTCCATTCAAAATACTCTATGGACAGGACCCGCCTGTTCTACACCCTTTTGTGCTAGGATAAAACAAACAATGCTGATCTAGAGGAACAACTACTATCTCGTGATGCTATGCTAAAACTCCTTCGGGAAAATCTCCAAAAGTCTCAAAGCCGGATGAAGGCTCAAGCTGACTCTAAACGACGTGAGCTATCTTTTGAGGTAGGAGATGTTGTCTTCCTCCGGATTCAACCTTTCCGTCAGCGTTCTTTGTCCAAGCGACGGTTTGAAAAACTGTCCCCTCATTTCTTTGGCCCATATTCGGTTGTTCGTCGCGTTGGTCCAGTTGTTTACGAATTGGCTCTACCTGAAGATTGCAAAATCCATCCCATCTTTAATGTATCTTTGCTACGCCCCGCGTATGGACAGTCCCCTTTGGTTCCACCCGCAGCCCTTCCTATATCTACTGACTGGGAGTATGTGTTACAGCCTGAAAAAGTGCTCTCTCACAGATTCTGGTTCTAATTTAGAGTTGTTGGTGCAATGGGCAGGCCGGCCTCTTGAAGAAGCAACGTGGGAAGACTATGACTTACTCGCTGGGCAGTTGCCTTCTTTCACCTTGAGGACAAGGTGACTTTTCAGGGGGGGTACTGATAGACCACTGAAGACTTGTTCCCGCAGGAAGAAACTGCTTTTGGGAAGCAGTTGAAGTTGTGGCTATTTTTCAGTCATTAGTGGATGTGGTTATGGGCATAACCTGTAACCCACTACTCTATTGCTTTTCAATTATTATAAATACTCTCTGGTAGCTACGTAATAGATAGTTAAGAATATATAAGCAATATCATATTGTAAGGAGCCTTGTCCTCTCCACACGGACTGAAACATTTGAAAATTTATTCAGATTCTGTGAATTTCTCAACCCTCTTTCTCTATTCCTCTTTGATCCCGTCTGGTCCTATCAGTGGGTTCCACCGAGCGCACAAGAATTATTTCTCCAAAAGATTGATGATCTTATTAATACTAATCCAAAGAGTCTTGGTAGTCTAGTATTACAACTCTAATTCTATTACAAGATGTCTATTAGGAATGTTAGGTAAAAAAGAATTATTATGCGAAGAGGAAACTAACAGTAATACTTGAGGAAACAAATACTAATACTATACTTAAGTTTGTCCATATCTCTAGGCTTGCTGGAGAGAACCGACTAACCGATTGTCATATGACCCTAGCCCTAAGATTGTTGTAGTTAATACACTTACGCACCTAGCACATCTCGTGTTCTGTACTTGTATGAGTTGTATATGTAGATGCTCTCTTTACAGTATTTATACATGATATGTACAATACTTCATTATTTTACGAGGTTTGTGGTATAATAACATTTGAAATATAGGGAGTTTTTCGTTAAACTAGAAAATCGTATACTCTTCTAACTTCATATTCTCATTAAACATTATGTAATAAACTAATCTCATCATCGTCATCATTACCCCAGTGCCACAAAGGCTCCCACCTACGGTGGGATAAGGGGGGTCAGATGTACGCAATCTTACCCCTGTACTCAAGCACAGAGAGACTGTTTCTGGATGACCCATAGTGAAAATCGCATTCAAAATCGCCCTCCACTTTCCTCTCTCCAAAGTCATACTCTCATCCAACCCAAGAAGAAGCATATCTGCATCTCACTCTTGATTCCTCACGTCCGTTTGGGTCTTCCTCTCCCTCTCCTCCCCGCCTCTTCTCCCCACCTCTCAACTCACCTAACAGAAGCATCATTCGGTCTTCTACGCACATGACCAAATCACTGCACTGCAATCAAGACTTTTGCATTTTATCTTCTATAGGTGTTACTCCCACCTTTTATCTGATTATCTCATCCCTCAAGCAATCTTTTCGGGTATGTATGCACATCCAACGCAACATACGCTTTTCTGTCACTCATCTTTTGAATGTGTCATTGTTTCACCGCCCAACACTCTATGTCATACATTAAAGAGTATTAACCGAGTCAATACATGTAAATCCTTGTGATAAGTGAATACATTTATATCTAGCGGTGTTGATCAATTGGTGACCACAGTAGGTTGTGTAGGCCTGTAGGGTCGTATCACTACCCCAGGGTCCCCAATATCTACTTACCAACCTGCCCATGCCAACATGCTAATATGTTCTTATAACACTATTCAATGTAAAGTTGGTGTCTGCTCTAGGCATTGTAAGCAAAAAAACTGGTGCCTGAAAAAATGCATCAATAGTCTATATGTAGCTTATTTTTAAAAAATTAGGGATTACTGCCTTTTTCCAATACACACAACTGCACACAATTTATACTACTATGCAATTAAAGACTTCCTATATCAACCTTTCTTTATATGCTATTGATATATCAAATTCATGACTCAAGCATTTGGAACATATTTTACACTATACCTGCCAAGTTCCCATGTTTAGCTTTCCATCTGTTATGGGTATCCTACAAGTTCCAAAGTTGATATTAATAGGAATTTTAAGTAATGACATATGCGAAAAAATGAGAATGTATTCATACGTGAGTGTGCAGCCAAACATTGATGACTTAATGTGAGCAGGCATGTCATCAGGACCTGCAAAAGTATAACAATTCTAATACAATTGCACATAATGCACTAAACCGAGTGCCACAAAATTTTCACGTAACTTTTCAACAGACATCAGCAAAAACTATAACAAGGGGGTCTTCACACAGCTGAATAGCATTTAGATTTACAATTTTATATTACCCCCTTTGTCCCCATTTAACCTTCTACTTTACTTTTTTCATCCATCACAAAATAAACTTCTTGTTTCCGTTTCAACGATAGAATTATAAGATCTATATTTTTTCCTTTAAAAAATCAACCACATTTATTTTATTTACCTCCATGTCCATTCAAACACAGAATATATATACTTTTCTTTCCTAGAATTGACTACATTTGTATCAAGCTTGGCACATACTCTCTATGTTCCAAATTAAGAGTCCAGCTTGGTCAAGGTACACTTTTTAAATAACGGAAAGGTACAACGTTTGAATATTGTGGAATACAATTAATACTCCTCCAATTAATTTTTGGATTAGTTAAACTTATTACATTAAATATGACTTTTTGTGCAGGACAACGAATAACTTATATACTCCTACTTGAGAGGGAGTGTTGAGGCTTGAGAATAGTTGTACAACCTTTTGTAAACTATATTAACATAGCTGTAAAGCTTCCAGATTCATTTGTAATCAACCAAAACTATCATTTATGTCAATCAATTCCTTCCATAGTTCCATATTCAACACATAGATGAGAAATTAAGAATCAGTGTTATTAAAGTTCGAAACTACGTTGGGCAAATGAAGAATCCAGGTTATCCAAGAACTAACTCCATACCTTCCAGGGTGTGCTTCCATGGTGCAGACCTCCCCTGAAAAAAAATCACAACAGAATGACACCCAAGGGGCGAACTGCTAAGTCAATCTGAAAAACTCAGAAAGAGAAAGAGCTAACCTCTGGAACAATCCTGCTCAAAAATGTCTCGGTGTCATCTCGAACATCTGAGTCATAATTTTCGTTGATGGTCAAAGAAGCACTTGTGTGTTGCACTGTTGAGTTTCCAACAGAACGATGTCGGTTCGCACTATATATTATAAATAGAAAATTGAATCAAATTCCAAGACAACAAGATAGTTCTGTCTTACAAAATAGATGAGCAAGCCCACATTTGAACCCTGACAGATCTTGCCCTATTTCATTGATGATCTATGAAAGAGAAACATTCAAGGATATCACCATATGAAGTAGGAAATGGAGGGTAAGAATCAGAAAACACAGAAACTGCATCAGAAAAAAATAGTTTAAGGAGAAGAGATATAAAGATGAAGTGTAGAAAGTTCATTTTCATTACAACAAAAAACAACATTACCCCAGTGTAGCTAAGGCTCCCACCTACGGTGGGGTAAGGGGGTCGGATGTACGCAGCCTTACCCTGTACTAAAGCATACAGAGACTGTTTTTGGATGACCCATGATGAAAATCGCGTTCAAAAATTGCATTACAACAACATCCAAGCCTTAGTCCCAAAAGATATTGGGGTCGGCTAACATGAATCGATACATGATATCACAACCAAAAGGAAAAGAAGGAATAAAGATAAAAAGATAAGCTATTATGAAAAGATAATATAAAAAAAGATGAATATATATATATATATATATATATATAAATGATAAAATAAAAAGGTTGCAAGTAATGCTTATATATATATAAGGATAAAAAAAACTAGGAAAAAAAAAGATGAGGGAAAAAGATTATCAAGATCACTCCTTCACGTGAATACCCGTCCTCCACTTAGTTCTCTCCAAAGCCATGCCCTCATCCAACCCCAGAAAAAGCATATCACTTCGAACTCCCCTAACCCACGTCTGTTTGGGTCTTCCTCTCCCTCTCTTCCCTGCCTCTTCTCCACACATCTCAACTCGCCTAACAGGTGCATCACTCGGTCTTCTACGCACATGACCAAACCACCGTAGGCGCGACTCCCACATCTTGTCTTCAATAGGTGCTACTCCCACCCTTTGTTTGATTGTCTCATTCCTCACGCGGTCTTTCCTAGTATGCCCACACATCCAACGCAGCATGCGCATCTCTGTCACACTCATCTTATGAATGTGACATTGTTTCACCGCCCAACACTCTACGCCATACAGTAATGCAGGCCTAATTGCTGTCCTATAAAATTTACCCTTCAGTCTAGTCGGCATACCTCGGTCGCATAGAAATCCTGACGCACTCTTCCACTTCATCCACCCTGTTCTGATTCTATGGGATACATCTCCATCTAACTCACCGTCCTTCTGAATTATGGAGCCCAAGTAACGGAACATATCGTTGAGTGGTATCTCCTTACCATCCAGAGTAATTCCGCTATTACCACTACTTCTACCTCCACCAAACTTGCACTCCATGTACTCTGTCTTGCTCCGACTTAGTTTGAAACCCTTATTCTCCAATGTTTGTCGCCATACTTCCAACTTTGCTTTAAGACCTGATTGCGTCTCATCAATCAATACAATATCGTCGGCAAACATCATGCACCACGGTATATCGTCTTGAATTGACTTCGTAAGTTCATCCATGACTATGGCAAATAAGAAAGGACTCAAGGCCGATCCTTGGTGCACTCCGATAGTAATAGGGAACTCTTCAGTCCTCCCTCCACTAGTACGAACACTTGTAGTACAATCCTCATACATATCCATGATGATGCTGATATACTTGCGTGATATGCCTTTCCTAGTTAAGGCCCACCAAAGGCGTTCCAAAATTGCATTCTAGAAAACAAATTTCAATGCACCAAGATGGACAATTTAAGAGATTCTAAAATTCCAACACTTGCAGATCAGTCTCCAGCCACCACAAATTCTCCACAAGGCTGCCTTGTCAACCTTATGGATGCTGCCAGTTCAAAGGAACAAAATGACATCATGGAATTAAGGAAACATTAAAATGAACTAAGTCTTAGAATATTTGTTGACCCTCTCTGCTTATCCATCAGACATGGGATGATAGTTTTGCTTGATCAGTTAATCCCCAGTGTTTAAATAGATATTGTCAGAACTGGCTAATATAGTATGTCCCTGTCACGTACTATCCTTTGATGTATGTCATGTAATTTTGTAGATAGACCCTGTCCATTGATAAGATGACCACTGCAGCACTGCTTGTTAATTATCATGATGAGTGAAGGAAACCAATGTGCATGTTTTCTGAACCTGTCCAGTGTCCATCACTAGTAAGCTAGTATCCTCTCCCAGGATTTAGGTGGCCCGTTTATGGCAGTATCTCTGCATGCACATCCAGTAGAAAATGACCTTGATTCTATTATATCTAGCCAATTCCCAGAGTCCAGAGTCCAGACCCTCTGAGGTGCGTGTTATGTATTTTTCTATGGTTATGGACTTCTGGTTATGAATTCTTCATATTCCCTAGACAATAACCTTCATGCGCATCATAAATTCCACCTCACCAGTGTGATTTAGGATTAAACACCGGGGTCCACCTACTGGTCTACAACCTATTTAAGTGAGTGGCTGCAACACTTGCTTGGAAGAGATTGGATCAATAAAATGACAGGAAAACATTACCTTTGAGCACTCACATGGAATGATTTGGATCTCAGAAGTTCTGACATTTTTGGCAGATTGATAGTTAGGACTTAGGATCAATATGAAACTTTTAGAAAAGTGTATCAAACTCACACCTTGAAGTCCTTTATCTGCTTTCTTCCAATTCCTCTAATCCCAGTCCACGCCCACATTCCAACAGTTACATACATGTAATGAAATGATATCTCACCAAGTTGACGTACTAAAACACGGATCTTGAGCTTTGTGATTGGAAAGATCAGTGGCACATCAATTAAAGCTCTCTGATAGAGTTGTAGGAGAGGCTGATAGTTCCATTCAAGATTTGTGGCACATGGGGTTCAACATCTATTTGGATAATTTCATCTAAGCTGACTATAAAACAGATCTGCATGTTGGTGATAGCAAGCCAAGTATACCAGTACGTGTAACATCTCAAATTCATCCATGTATTCATCAATGTCTAGACCCTTCTATTTCAGGTTGGTGTTCTCACCCAACAAATTGTTGCTACATGGAGCTCTGAACTGATGTTTAAAGTAGTCCTTATACATTTGTCAAGATAGAAGAGATCAATCATGAATGATAGTACCACAACCATGCTTCGCTCGTTATTTTAGAGGCTCCGAAACTATCCTTCTCTTGGTGTGAAGTGTGAGTGTGTTGAGGAAATACATTCACAATGATTTAGCCAAATCAATTGATTCCTCCTTTAAGGACAATGGAGGAAATCAAGCTTTGTATAAGACAAATGTGTTCATCACTTGATCAATCATCAACAATTAAGGACCCTTAAGTTTGGGTGCATTGAATTGTGGATGCCGAAGCATGACAATATAATTTGCTTTAGATAGGTCACTTTCTTGACAAGATTCGCGATTGTGTCTAATTGTGTCAAAGCTTTGAATCCTAATTATGCAAGAGAGACTCACCCGTGATGATGACTAAAAACTCTCTTGCAATTGTCATAAGCCAATACTTGTTAGGAACAAAAAAAGAGCTTTAAATCACTTCCCGTATGACTTAGTGGTAAAACCCACACAGTTTTTTTGTTAGAAACAAAAAAAAAGGTTTGAATCATTTACTTGTGTGGGTTAGTGATAAAACCTTGTAATGTCACAAGCCTGCACTTGTTAGGAACAAAAAACAAGAGGAAGATGAACAGATCATGTTTGTTAGGTTTACTTGAGAGCCCAAAACTCTAATTGTTTGTTCAGAACTTCAGATTTACATTGGCATTACCATGCTATAATATCTGTACCATTGTCTATCAAGTATCTACTATATATGCATAGACAGAAAGTAAAATGACCATGTAAACACAAGGGAGAGATCTCGGGTTTAACTCCAAGCAACGACTTGGGATGCAACCCCACTCTCTTTCCATCAGAGTGAGATCAAAGGTCAATTTACATCTTCCCAAATAATTGTCTGGTCAGTTCTAAGGGGCTCCCTGGGATGGGGAGTCATCCATTTTACAGAAAGAAAAATGACCATGTAAACACAATATGCTAACTCAGATAAGCAGTGGCCCCAGAAAACATCAACTTCTTTCAGAATCCCTTCACATTCACTCATTTTCCTTTATATTGAGTGACATACTTAGCGTCCTAGTGTGTAGTAAATTGTAAAGGAGGCTATTAAGCCCCCCAGAGCACCCCTACAAGTATGCGACCTCGGACCTCCTCTTCTTTGGATTGTCCACAAGGGTTCGTAAGGGAACCATCCAGTATCAACAAGGTTAACAAGTGACCTTGCTTACCTTCCATTATAACCGAATGGGGTTTAAGCCATCACTTGTTGTTTAGGTGCTTGCCTATTAGAACCACGACTGGGGTCACTTTTTGGGACAACCGCGCAAAGCCTAACACTCCACGTTTAGACTGCTGTAAGAAACTTACTTGATGGCGAGAAGAAGAAAGGAACCGAATGGAAAGATGTAGTCATGCGAGAGATAACAGAAGCAGTAGAAGTACTGTAATCCATACCTTAGAGGTAACGAGGTGACAGCCCCGTGTTTGAGGGGGGAGGGTTATGGTTTTCTGAGCCCACTTGGGTTGAGATGCCATGGAAATGGAATGATGACTAGTAGCAGCAAAGGACGAAGACTTGAGGTTAATTGTTGGTCTGCACCGAAAAACGATCCTTATCGGCGGCCTACCAAATCCCGAGCTGTGTAGCGCTTGCGCCGTCGATATTCCCAGAGCCGCTGCGGCTGCGTGCATCCTCACATCCCCGACCAGATGGCCTGAGAATACTTTCATTTCATTTTCGCTCGGGACCGGCGCTAAACCGGCTGCTGGTTTGATTTTTTACTAATGGTAATCTTTTTAAGTAAAAGAAAAAAGGGTTAAGTAAATCTTTTTATTATTTTGAGATAATTACCTATATAGGATTAAAAAATACTCCCTCCGTCCCCTTTTAAATGTCTCGTTTTACTATATTAAGATGTCCCTATTTAATTGTCTCATACCTTATTTGATAAAGTTTGTGTGGCTCAAAATTATTCTTACTTTATCAATTACTATCACCACACAAACTCACTTTTCTTAAAACTCGTGCTACCCTCTTCCGATACATTTAAAAAGGGACGGAGGGAGTAAAAGTTATGCACAAATAGGAGTGTAGCTTCCCGTCAGATTTAGTAGGAGTAAAAAAGAGGTGAGCTGACACTTAAGTCTAATTAAAGTAGCCAATTAGTTTTACTTAAAGTGGCAGATTAAAGGTATAACTTATTACTAGTCTAATATCAATATTCCTATAGTCCATGCTATAATCATTCTATTTAATCTACGTTTATTTTGATTGTAATCGTACTCTCGTCGTTGCCGGATGTTGTAGGAGGAAAAAGGGTCGGCTTACACGTTAGGCTGCAGTGCGGTGATGGCAGTGGTGTGATCAGCGTCCGCTCCCTCCTTGGTGTGCGAGCGTCGTTTCGAAGTCTAGCAGTCCGGCGACGTTAGCTTCTTCTCCGGCTATCTTCTCCGGCGTTAGCTGTGTGACGAAAACAACTCCTTTTTCCTCTCGCAACACTCAGTCAACTCTAGCATATGGTTATGATATGTTTTTTTGTTTGTCCTCAAAACAGATGTGCCGCACAAGTGTGTCAGACACGTATATATACACACGTTTCGTTTATTCTGCTGATGGTCCGTTTCAAACATGTATGATAGAAAATGAACTGGATTTAATGATTCTAAAATGTTGATCTACTCGATAACATTGGAAGAGTATGCGGGATACTCGTGAAAGAATCACCTATGTGAGAGAGAAGAGGGTTGCTTCAAAGGAGAACTGTAAAGGCTCAGTTCTTTAGAAACTCTTGCAGAATCAGGACGGTGACCCATGGCCAAAACGGGCACACTCATGAGAACGGAACAAAGTTGGAAGGTTCTTGTGTAAAGATAAGTCAATGTTTACACGACGGGAGTATAGTTCAAGGACATCGAGTCTACTAGACAGCCAATAAATAAACATGTCTTTACATCGGAAGGTTCAAAGGATAAAACCTACCTCTCCGTATGCAAGGATCATCCGGTGAACACAATGTGTCCTCCTATCTTCGTGTCTTTTTTAATCTCGAAAATCAATTTTCATTCATGTGGGGGATTGTTGGAAAAATGTGTTAAAATTGCATTAAATGGTCATTTTGGGGCAGTTATTTGAGTGGGGTCCACTTCCGATTTGGGTCGGGTCAAAGTGGTTTCGGATTGTCCTTGTTAAGGGCTACAATTCGACATATGGTACGCTCAAAACGGATAACGGGTGAATGAGAAATTGATTCTCGAAGTTCAATCGTTGAAATGGAAAAACTGGGAAAATGATGGGTTTCTAGTGTGTTTTATACCACACCGGAAAACTCAAGGAATTTTCACCCCCTTATAAAGGGAAGCCTCTTTTAAGGAGTTAAGATTCCTAAAGGTAAAGGCTCTCTCTTACAGCAGTAAATGCTCAACGTTCTTGTCTTTTAATGCAACGTGAAATGGACAGTTTATGGACGATTCAATGCCCAACGGACTGGTCATTGATGTCCAACGTTCAGGTCCATTAACACCTCATTTAACACACAACAAATCCTCTTATAAATAGCTGGTAGGTTCTTTGCAACAAACATGCTATCTGCACGTATTTTTGAGCTCTAAAACACTTTCAGCTACTCTGGAAAAATTCTTGAGTGTTCTGCCTTTGTTCTTGTTCGCTGGAACTCTCGTTTGTGTGCTCAAACGTTAGTTCATTAGCCACCGTATCCTGGGAAATGGTGTTGCAACGCTCCTAGCACCGTGGGAGGCGACGAATACGTTTTAAGGACATCGTGCGTAGCACGAGCTCTGGCTAAACTCTGTCTATCTCTTTTCTGATTTTCTTTGGCTATTTAATTAATTAATTAATTTTATTAATTAATATTTCTTCGTTTTTCCGAGACACACCCAACATAACAATGAAAACAAAAGGAGAGAATTTGATAGGAGATTTGGAGTTGAAGACCCCTTCTTACTCTTTTATCATTGAGGATACTTTGTGTTACATTGTTCTATAAACACTCGTGGATGTGTGTGTTGATATTCTTGTCATTTTAAGGACTTCTTGGACTGGATTTGATTTACTCGAGACGAGTAATGGTTTAAGTGTGGGGGTGTTTGATATGCGTTAATTAGTAGTGCATAAGTGTATGTTTTTATGTTGGATTTGTATGTATTGTTTATCATTTTATTTAGTTTATAAACATTTGTGTGATTTTAGTTGTAATTGTATTTTAATCTTCATTTGTAAGTTGTAAAGTAGAATTAGGAATTATGGTGTTGAAAATGAGGACTTTGAAGTGAAGAAAAAGGATGTTGGGCTGTCCAAGAGCTAAACCCCGACCGGGTATGACACTTGACCCGGTCGGGTATGATTTAACAGACGAAACTGCCTGGAAAATCATTGGACCCGGTCGGGTCCCCTACTTGACCCAGTCGGGTCAGATCTGACCCGAGACAAAACGACGTGCTGAAGATCATCAGAACGTGGAGGATATCTGATTTTGACCGGACCCGGTCGGGTAGGCACTTGATCCGGTCGGGTATCCGGCCAAAGGTGTTGAAAAACACCTATAAATAGCACACTTTCTCTTCTCTAAAGATCATCCCTTCTTCCATACTCTTAAGCTCAGTTTAGAATAACATTTCTTTATATTTTTTCTAGCTATGTTTAGTCTCCAAATGAGGAGCTAAACTTCCAATTCTTGGTGATGCTCTAGAAGCTTGCTGATTATTAAAGTTGTGAGTTATTTTCTTAACTTCTTCCCTTGAATATTAATTATTAGTTCTTTCCTTAATACTCTATATTAATGTTGGGGAGTGTTGCTAAGATGACAATTAGTTAACATCTTGACATTAGTTAGAGTAGTATTTTCTTCCTCTATATTAATGTTGGGGAGTGTTGCTAAGATGACAATTAGTTAACATCTTGATATTAATTATAGTATGATTCATCTCCTTTAATAATATTCTTCCTTGAATATAAATTAATTCCTATTCACATTTCATATTAATATTTTGAACATTACTTAAAAGATCAACTAGTTTTGTTTCATATATTAATTATTACTAGGAACGATCGACGAACCGATGGTTAATCATTGATGGTTTCACAAGTAAGTAACTTCGGTTTATTAATGCACGGTCGTGGTTGATAAACTTAAGAGGGATTAATTTTGTTGTTTAAACCGAAACTGTTGTGTTGAGGTTATCAATCTCAATTGATTTCATCAAGGAGTTAAGAAATTAAATCCTACTATCAAGTCGGTATATGGCGGTGTTCTATACTTGACTAATAGTAAGGGTTACTAATGAACAGTCGTTGTTAATAACTAAACTTGATGAATTGGATATACTCCTCAATTGAGTATTCGAGAGGGAATAAGTTATTGTTAGTACCCAATTTTGATAGATTTTGATGATACCACTATACTTAACACTAGTACATTGTGTCTTAATTTATTTACGTATAAATGTTCAAAAGTGACAAAATAAATGTACAATTTTTGAGACTAAAGAAATATTACTGGAAAAGTAAAAATGCAATAAGGTAATTTTTACTTACTTTAATAGGATAGTTAGATCCTACCGGTAGATATTATTTAGATCAATGATTAAATTGTCACATTTTAAAGAAAAGATGCTCGAATACACTATGATTGGAAGACAAAATGTACACCGGCATTAAATGAAAAAGAGGTACACGGACCTACAACTGGATGCACACATGGGACATTTTTCTGCTGAGCGGCTAAAGATTATTGGAGACAGCCTCAATAAAGGCTTCAGCACAAGAAGACGAATGTACAACTCGTCCTTGCCAGATTTCAACGTCCAAGATCAATCTATCCTAACCAACGGATAAGATTGATCAGCCAGAGAAGCCTATAAATATAGGCTGAAACGAAAGTTTCTAACCAAGCTTGAGCATTCTAAGTAGAGAATTATTTCATTAAGCATTCACGAGATATCTAGCAAAAGAGAAAGTGCGAATCAATACTTTACTCTCTGCTAAGACTCATGCTTCACTAAACCTCTTAGTTTCTAGTAGTCATTGCTAAATCCTAGAAGTTTAGTTCCTAGTTGGAAGTTAGAACTAGGCCTGGGATCGGTTCGGTTCCTATTAAAAAATGGAGGAACCATTTAGAAAATCGCTAATCTTGATATCGGTTCGGTTCCAGTCAAAAAAATCAAGAACCAATATGGAATCGAACCAAATGTTAACGGTTCGGTTCTTGTCATTTTTCGGTTCTTAAAAAACTATAATCCACTAATTTCCGCCACAAAGTAGTTAGAATACACCACATAACTGCCATCAACCAAACAATCACAATACACCACCGAATTTAATATTACAAATTCATGATTGAAATAAGTTAGGACTTATTGACACATTAAAGTTAAACTGTCATTTTAAGTAACAATCTAGAGCTTAAAAAGGTACAATTAGTCCAGCCAAATATAGTTCCAAATTTAACACCATAAATATATTATATTCTCTAATCTTGATCCTTCTTGGCCTGGAAAGTATTCGCTAATGATCTCCATGGCAAGTACAAGCCCTCAACTTCAATTAGTTTAAACTTCAAACCTGAAAAAATTATATTAAATTTAGAATGTAGTAAATGTAAACATAAATACTTTCTATATGTAGTTCTATATATTCAGAATAATCCCTAAATCAAATCAGATTGTTGCTTTAGAAGCATGACTTTAAAATGATAACACTTACTAGTGGCTCACAAAAGTCAATAATAGTCTTCAAAAATGACTTAGGCATTCAACTATTTATGTTTATTTTGCTTGCCCTTTCTTCTTGTTCAAACTCTGCATGAGATTCAGGCATTCAACTATTGAATAAGACTACTATGTAATAAATTATTATGGCAGCCAAGTGTAGTTAAAAAGGCATGAATATGACATATAAGTAAATTGATACATCAATGAAATTGTGAAAATCTTGAAATACCTTTTTCGGTGTTTTCTAACCACTCCATTTCCTCAGGACTGGGAGCATACCCAAGATTTGTAATTGAGTCAGACTTCAACCAATTTTGTAGACAAATGAGTGCCTCAACTGATCTTGGAGTTAGTGAACTCCTGTGAAGATCAATAACTCTCTTTCCCGTGCTAAAGCTAGATTCAGAAGCTACTGTACTAACTTGAATTGCTAGAATATCTTTAGCCATTGCTTGCATATTAGGGTACTTTGGCCCATTTAGCCTCCACCATGTCAAAATATCAAAATCGTCATTTTGTTTTTCTATGGGGTCTAAAAGGTACCTGTCAACCTCATGAGCAACAACAATTAACTCCCTTCTTCAAGATCTTTTTCCCAATCCTCATGCATCATTGCCCTTTTCCCACACAATTTTTTATTCCTACAGATTGAACAACTTCATATTATATTCAACACATATCTTTTGTATTAGTATGTTTTCAGTGCAAAATGTTGTCAACTTGACCAATTTTTTTAACAAATTGACCAATTCAGGAGAATTTTATAACAAAATGGGCAGAATTCAACCAACTTTTTTTAGAAAAAAAAATAACTGAAAGTGAATAGAACAAAATGGGCAGAAATCAAAGAACATAGATGACAAGGAAACAATTAAGCTTTAACCATGTAACCACCTTTTTCCCAAAACATCAGCCCATAACTGATGTGATACAATTTTATATGCCAGAAGAAGAAAATTGTCAGCAGTATAAGCCATAAGTAGGGGAAGATTATCTTCAGAAGAGAAGATGAGCCAACTGAGACCTTCAGATCAATATTGTTAGTTTCAGATTATTGGAGTGATGAAGAATAATTATGTAAGAGTCTTAAGGTGGAATTAATCGGTGTCCGACCTAGTCAAGGCACCTCAAAATTAATTCTTTCCAAAAGTGCTTTATTAAACAATACTAATCCCTTCAAATAGAGATTACAAGAGTCCTAATAGGAAGCATAAGAATAATAGGAAGTTTCCTAACTGAATAAGGAAATAACTTTGAATCTGAAATAACTAAAATCTAATCAATTAAATGCTGCCAGCTTTCCTAATTGAATTAAGAAATACTACGAATGGGAAATAACTAGGATCTAATTAATTAAATGCTGCCAACTTTCCTAATTGAATTAGGAAATACTATGAATTGGAAATAACTAGGATCTAATTAATTAAATGCTGTCAACTTTCCTTGGCATCATTGCCCTTTTCCCAATCCTCATGCATCATTGCCCTTTTCCCAGACAGTTTTTTATTCCTACAGATTGAACAACTTCATATTATATTCAACACATATCTTTTGTATTAGTATGTTTTCAGTGCTAACAAGTTATAGTTGATTCAACAAAATGGGAAGATTTCAACTAATATATCTTAACTAATTCAGGAGAATTTTATAACAAAATGGGCAGAATTCAACCAACTTTTTTTAGAAAAAAAATAACTGAAAGTGGATAGAACAAAATGGGCAGAATTCAACTAACTTCTAAAGTTATAAATTTTAGATATATGGTACCTGTTGTTGCTTGTACTGCCTCCAACTTCTTTTGTGCCTTTTGTTGTGCTGGAACCCTGATTAGTTGTTGATAAATTAAAGAAAATATTAACTTAATAAAATAATCTGGATTTTATTGTCACTGAACTGTTAAGATACACTAGTACCTGATTCTGAAGCATACATATCGGTAAGTGTGACTATCAAATCCTTTAACTGGTCACTCTTTTTTTTCACCGTTTCACTACTTTCATTCAACATCTTTTCTAGAATTCTACTGAAGTATTTCAACTTGAATCTGGGGTCTAAAACCAAAGCAACAAGGATAATTTGGTTCATATCATCGACAATATCAAAATACTTCCTATATTTGGCTTGCATTTCAACTGACATGTCAAATAATATTTTCTGTGCACCCTCCAATAGTTCTGCTGAATCATTTGAGCACATATCCTCAATCTCAGATCTGATCGTTGCAATCTCGAAGAATGCTTTGTGTGCAGTAGGCTTATTTGTTGCACTAAACACCACCGTAGTATCAAAGAAAACTTTCAAAACCTTCACGAATTCAGTACAATTATCCCAATCAGTTTCAACAGGAGGACCCACTCTTTTTCTACCTTTCCCTCCAGTGAAGCTCAATTCTTCATCTTCATTTTCTTCTTCATCAAAGTATCCATTATACTTAGATTCCTCCTCTTCTGCCAACCTATCAAATGCTGCTTTGAGCTCAAGTGCAGTCTCAAGCATTATGTAGGTGGAATTCCACCTTGTCGGCACATCCAAGACACACACTTTTCTACTTTCGAGTTCCTCTTTCTTAACACACTCTTTAAAAGCATCATATCTTGCAGGCGAGCTTCTAACATATCTCACTGCATTTCTAATCGAAAGCACTGACTTCTCCATACATCTCAAACCAGATTTAACGATCAGATTCACAATATGAGCTAAACATCTAACGTGAAGATACTGCCCACCAAGAACAAGTTGTTTATCACCATTGTTTAACTTCCTCTTTATGTAATCCAATGCAACTTTGTTAGAAGATGCATTATCAACAGAAATTGTTAAAAGCTTCGTAATTGACCAGTCTTGCACACATTTTTCTAGAAGCTTTCCTATCGTTATCCCTTGGTGATTTGGAATGACACAAAAGTTAAGAATTCTCTTATGCATAGTCCAACTACTATCAATGAAATGAGCAGTAACTACCATGTAGTTGATATTTTGCAATGAAGTCCATGTATCTGTTGTTAAGCTAACACAATGATTTTTTAGATCAGCTTTCAAATCTTCCATCATTGTGCTATACATGCTTAAAAACATCTTAACAATTGTTTTCCTACAAGGCACTTTCCACTTTGGAATTGCAATTTTGAAAAATCTTCTAAACCCCTCTTTCTCAATTGCACTAAATGGCATCTCATCTATAACAATCATTTCCACAGCCGCTTTAGTGCAATTTTCTTGACTCCAATGAGTAACAACAATATTTTCACCATTTTTATCGACACCAAGGTGTTTTTGACCTACTCCCACATTCTTAACACAACCTGGGTACTTAGGACAATGTTGTTCTAAGTGATTTTGTAGTGTGCTAGTCCCATTTTTTGTTGAATCGGAAGCAAACTCAGTAGAACAATACTGCCATGTAGATATTTGAGTGTGACCTACCTGTACATTTACACCTTGCTCATTTTCTTTCATGAGAGGTTTCATTTCTGTATCATAGTGTCCCCACACCCAAGATCGTTTATTTCTCTCTATTTTAACTCCTGCCCTCTTCCTTTTTTTGATAGCTTTGGAGGCTCACTGGATTGGGGTGCATTGGGCTTGTCAGAATTCGTAGTCATTTGATCTGCAATATGGAGTGAATACATTAAAATAGCCCCATCACAACAAAATATAAACAATAAAAAGCATATATGAAGTATTAGTTACCAGCCATCTAACACATAGATTTGAGCAATCTGAGCAACTTGTAATCAAGTTTCCTAACAAAAATATAGAGAGCTATATCAGATGAGTTAGGTAATTTACGTATAGTATTGAACCATAAACCAGCCAAATTAATTATACAGACAAGACAAAGTCCATACCTTGTACCTATCTCTAATTTATAATACTACATATTATAAAAGGCTCATTTCACATGCACACAAAAAACTTCAAAACTTTGTGGTTCTAATCAAAACCATAACGTGCTGAATCAAAATTGCATAGCCAAGCCACCCGCAAAGGTTTAGTCCTTTGGACCTAGGACTCAAAATTCAAAGCTATATCTTCATACACAGTTAAACTTTTCAAAAAAATTCACAACCTCCCTACTAAAAAAACATGAACTCTGGAGTATCAATAAAGATTGAAGAAATCATCCATCCCATGCCATTAACGAAAAAAGGCATGCTAAAGATTCCAATTTTAAGTCTCTGATAGCTGCTTAATCAAAATCTAAATATATATCAGGATTCAAGACTAGACAAATAGACTTGTGAACTAGAGAAGTAACGACCTAAAGATGGCTGGAGCGCCTCATACGCTTCATAGTTCATACATAGGGTGATACACTTCATATTTGACTTACAAACGAGAGAGAAAATGATATAAATTATGACATACCAATGAGCTCCTCGCTAAGAGGAAAGAAATTTGAGAGTGAATCACTCCTGAATCTACTATCTAGAGCCTGAGAGAAGAAGATCGAAATAGTTAGGCGATGTAATTGTTGTAGCGTTAGCGTGAAAGCATCATCGTGAATGCAAGAATAAGTTAATCCCTAGGGTTACCCATTCTGATATGTAAAATTTCCAAGGTCGATCAGCCCATTCTAATTTTTAACCGGTCGATACCTAAGGTCCTAAGCGGTTAAGCCTAGTATTTTCATATTGGTTCTTTACCGGTTCTAACCCAAAATTTTAAACCAAAACCAGAAACCGAACCGGTATCAAAAACAAGGAACCGAACCGATTAGAAATTATAACCCAATTAGAGGAACCGAACCGAACCGGGTGTTATCGGTTCGGTTCTTACCGGTTTTCCGGTTCCCGGTTCTGAAATCCCAGCCCTAGTTAGAACTTTCTTGTAAACAAATCACAAATTGTTGTAAACACTTAGGAGAACAGTTGTTCGGATCCTAAAGTGTGGTTAGATAGATAGAGTACCTTTTAATCCCCACTGGATCATTTGAGAAAAGTCTAAAGACTGAGTAACTTTGAGTGGTGTTATACTCATTGTGAAAAACCTTCAATCTAGGCCTAAGTGTTGTAAAGGCTAGATTGGCACTAAGTGTATTGGGGTTAATACTTTAGTGGAAATCCATCTGAAAGAGGGTGGGACTGGACGTAGGAGGATTACACCACCTCTGAACCAGGATATACTGTGTGTTGATCTATTTTTCAGTCAACAAAGCACACACCAAACACTTCTCACAAAAGATTGTAGTTAGCCAGTAGCATCCTAAGCAGTAGTCTTAATTGACCCTACTGCTTATTCTACTGCTTAATAACTCACTTTCTTTGAGATACAAAAGCCTTGAAATAGTACCACAAAAAGGTCTGTTCTATCAAATTTCTGGAAATCATCTTAAGGCATAGGAGGTGCCTCAGGAGTCCCCTGGCGACTACCCAACTGCTGAGCCCACTGCTCATATAAAATTATTTCTCTTGAACATCTAAACTTCACCAGACCTTCACAACACTCTTACTGAGGAGTTAGTTCAAACTGATCTCTGAAACCGAAGTTGAAACCCAGCAGGTGCCTCAGCAGTTCCCTCATTGTCACCCAACTGTCGAGACAACTGCTCCAATAAAACTCCCACTTACTTGTACTAAAGCACATCTTCAGAAAGCCCTCATCACCCTGAGCAACACTACATAATCAGTCTTCCCATAGCTTCATTCTCACTTAAGCAGGTACCTCAGCAGTTCCCTGGTTACTACACAACTGCTGAGTCCACTGCTCTCATTAAGGTTGATTATCAATCCACCTTGTTACATCATCAGAAAGCCCTTTTCATTCTAAGAAAGATTCTGCTCACACTTTCATCATACAATCAATATTTCCAAGAAAGCCAGACCTCTGCTGATGCCAAAAAGGGGGGGGGGGGATCAACACAAGCAGGCCCCTCCTCCATGTGATCCCTACCAGCAAGAAAGCAGCTGAAACAAGAAAGAAGAACAAGCGACTGCAAGAAGAAATGGAGATTAGAAAAAGAAAAGCTGAAGAAGCTAAGAAGAAAGCAGAGGAAGACAAACAAGAGTAGGCTAGACCTTAAGTCCGAAAGTGACGATAAACTATTGTACTTTCAATCTAGACAAATGTACAATAAATGAAAATCAATAAAAATATTTCTTTCTTGTGTTGTATAGTTTTGGCATCATCAAAAAGGGGGAAATTGTTAGTACCCAATTTTGATAGATTTCGATGATACCACTATACTTAACACTAGTACATTGTGTCTTAATTTATTTACGTATAAATGTTCAAAAGTGACAAAATAAATGTACAATTTTTGAGACTAAAGAAATATTACCGGAAAAGTAAAAATGCAATAAGGTAATTTTTACTTACCTTAATAGGATAGTTAGATCCTACCGGTAGATATTATTTAGCTCAAAGATTAAATTGTCACATTTTAAAGAAAAGATGCTCGAATACACTATGATTGGAAGACAAAATGTACATCAGCATTAAATGAAAAAGAGGTACACAGACCTACAACTGGATGCACACATGGGACGTTTTTTTGCTGAGTAGCTAAAGATTATTGGAGACAGCCTCAATAAAGGCTCCAGCATAAGAAGACGAATGTACAACTCGTCCTTGCCAGATTTCAACGTCCAAGATCAATCTATCCTAACCAACGGATAAGATTGATCAGCCAGAGAAGCCTATAAATATAGGCTGAAACGAAAGTTTCTAACCAAGCTTGAGCATTCTAAGTAGAGAATTATTTCATTAAGCATTCACGAAATACCTAACAAAAGAGAAAGTGTGAATCAATACTTTACTCTCTACCAAGACTCATGCTTCACTAAACTTCTTAGTTTCAAGTAGTCATTGCTAAATCCTAGAAGTTTAGTTCCTAGTTGGAGGTTAGAACTTTCTTGTAAACAAATCACAAATTGTTGTAAACACTTAGGAGAACAGTTGTTCGGATCCTAAAGTGTGGTTAGATAGATAGAGTACCTTTTGATCCCCACTGGATCATTTGAGAAAAGTCTAAGGACTGAGTAACTTTGAGTGGTGTTATACTCATTGTGAAAAACCTTCAATCTAGGCATAAGTGTTGTAAAGGCTAGATTGGCACTAAGTGTATTGGGGTTAATACTTTAGTGGAAATCCATCTAAAAGAGGGTGAGACTGGACGTAGGAGGATTACACCACCTCTGAACTAGGATATACCGTGTGTTGATCTATTTTCCAGTCAACAAAGCACACACCTAAGCAGTAGTCTTAATTGACCCTACTGCTTATTCTATTGCTTAATAACTCACTTTCTTTGAGATACAAAAGCCTTGAAATAGTACCACAAAAAGGCCTGTTCTATCAAATTTCTGGAAATCATCTTAAGGCATAGCAGATGCCTCAGCAGTCCCCTGCTGACTACCCAACTGCTGAGCCCACTGCTCATATAAACTTATTTCTCTTGAACATCTAAACTTCACCAGACTTTCACAACACTCTGAAACCTAAGCTGAAACCCAGCAGGTGCCTCAGCAGTTCCCTCACTGTCACCCAACTGCCGAGACAACTGCTCTAGTAAAACTCCCACTTACTTGTACTAAAGCACATCTTCAGAAAGCCCTCATCACTCTGAGCAACACTACACAATCAGTCTTCCCATAGCTTCATTCTCACTTAAGCAGGTACCTCAACAGCTCCCTGGTTACTACCCAACTGCTGAGTCCACTGCTCTCATTAAGGTTGATTATCAATCCACCTCGTTACATCATCAGAAAGCCTTGTTCATTCTAAGAAAGATTCTGCTCACACTTTCATCATACAATCAATATTTCCTTAACAGTTGCCTCAGCAGTTCAGTGTCATCCAGTCCTCTGCCAAGCCAACTGCTCACTACATAAAGTCCAAACTTCTTCCATCATAGAAAGTTGTTATACACTATTTGTATAAGAGGTTTAAAGACTTCCGCTGAGTACTATAAATCTCCCAAAAGATTATAGATCAACTCATCTATAAGGGAAAAGTTTTTAAAGTTGAAAAAGGTTTAAAAGTCTATTCACCCCCCCCTCTAGACTTTTACCTCTATTCAAGACCATCGGTTATAGATATAACAATGATCGACTAAAGTATATCAACAAGTGGAAAGTAGCAATGCCAAGTCCCTTTTATCTTTGAATTAAATCACATATAGGTTGTTCATCTTAGTTTTTAATTAAATTAAATCATCCAACACCCCCCTTTATTTACTAGTTTCATAAAAAGAGAATTATTCCTTTCACTGTGGATACGAACTCTACTTCACCTATACTACATATAAGTGTTAGTATTGAATTTATTTTGACGCATCGTGACAAAGTGCACATCAGGTGGTGTGTGTGATTTATGACCAGATCAACAGTCAAATAATTCTAAATAATAATAAAAGGATTTAAACAGTAGAAGAGAATTTCATCAACAATTCAGTACCGTGTATCCATAATAATGGCGAATCGATGAACAGTACACGTATGAATCTGATGAGAGAGAATTTTGTATTCTAGGTGCTCTACGAGAATAATATGCGGAACAGTATATGTAAAGACTTAGGGTTGTTTCGAACCATCTCTGCATGTATTTATAGGAGAGAGGTCGAGCATCCTTTTACAATTAGGAAACAACAATTTAGGCGTGTGAGCTTTAATTTAAGCACATTAATCGAGCCTAATTCTCGCTCAACTAAGCCTGCTAATACTAAGACTCATTAATTAAATCACCATTAAATTGAACACAATAAAATAATGATCTAACAATCCCCCCCTTTGTGTTCAAATGTCAATGAAGCTCGGGTTATCTATGAGTCTTGTATTGTGATTTTCGATAGCCAAGTATCGCTTCATAATAACGTAGAGTTCTTCTGAAATCGAGTCAGATACTAATGGCTTCAGCAAAATCACCTATTAGAGCAATCTAGATCACGTCTTCTGGATCTTCAGAATTCTTCAGCTTCAATGCGCATTCTTTTAGATGTTCTTCGATGATGTGAAGCGTTCCATCACAATACTTATGGATTTCATTCATGAGTAGGATACGCTTCTCACCTTTGTAGTTCTTGTAGATGATACTAGTCTCTAGATATGTGGTGATTTTGCCTTCTTCAAAATTATTGATCCATGGTGTTTTGTTTCTCGGAGGTGTAAGATTTACTTTACTGTAGTTGCTCTCAAACGCCAATGAGTAGATCGCAGACGGAAATATGCAGATCTTCGTGAAGACCCTGACAGGGAAGACGATCACCCTTGAGGTCGAATCATCGGACACAATCAAAAATGTGAAGGCCAAGATCCAGGACAAGGAAGGTATCCCACCGGACCAACAGTGACTCATCTTCGCTGGAAAGCAGCTCGAGGACGGACGCACCTTGGCCGATTACAATATCCAGAAGGAGTCAAACCTCCACCTTGTCCTCCGCCTCCGCGGTGATGCGAAGAAGCGTAAGAAGAAGACCTACACTAAGTCAAAGAAGCTGAAGCACAAGCACAAGAAGGTCAAGCTCACCGTCTTGCAGTTCTACAAGGTCGACAATTCTGGAAAGGTCCAAAGGCTTCGCAAGGAGTGCCCCAACGCCGAGTGCGGTGCCGGTACCTTTATGGCTAACCACTTCGACAGG